CCTCAGCGAGGTCGTGCCTTCCCTATAGCTCACGTGACCTCCCTGGCAGGACCCCCTTCTAGATACTGCTGCCCCCTCAGCGAGGTCGTGCCTTCTCTATAGCTCACGTGAGAGCACATCTCATATTCTGTCTTCCAAGGAGCCAGACGAGCCACCTTCTCAAATGAAGAACACGGGAGGGACTGAATTCTTCTCATGGGAGTCTGCGCTTCCCCCCAAAGGTGGCCATTAAGAAGCTGAGAATTACATGCACATAATGGAAATTTTTTTTTCCTCATGGATTTGGTGATTGGGAAGGGTAGAATATTATGAGATTCTAGAGGCATGAATAAGTCTCAGGGGCAAATTTTCAGGAAGAAATAACAGATCAGAGTGCAGAACATCAGTCTGGACGCAGGAAGGATGACAGTCAAGTCCACTTCACCTATTCCCAGGGCCAGATTTTCTGAGTAGGCATAGACAGCTCAGACTCACTCAGAAATGGGGTGAGCAGCATGGGAGAAAACTGCGGTCTGGGGCACTCTGACCCAAGCAGAGCTGAGAGCTTAGAGGCTCTTGTGCCCTGGTAGAGTTACCTGAACAATGAATACACTTGGACATTTTTTATTATTAATACAATAAGCAAAGAATAACAATATAGTAGAAATACACCAAATATCATATTAAAATGTAATGTAAATATCACATATTGACACTCAAAAAGTAACAAAAACAATTCTTAGCTCTAGGTCAAAAAAATGATGTTTCAAGGGTCCTGCCGTCCGGATGGCGGCATCTCTGACTTCACAGTCAAAGCCAGTTTCTGTAAATTCAGTGACAGATGAGTTTCTGTAGACTGAATACACTTCCCTAATGAATTCTACTACGGAGTGGAGTGTAAGTTAAAAATAAAGGAAGAACCGTGCCGTGTTGTTGCTGTCTTAAAAATCATTTTAAAACCTGGAGAACTGGAGGGAATTTATTTGAACTTGGAATCACTCTTGGCATCTTCTCCCCCCACCCGCCTGCTCCTCTGTGAAGGCTGGAATTTCTAAGATTTTCTCCCTTCTATCATATTTTCCCTGGAACTTTTCCTCTCTGCTCTCTGACAAACAGATTTCATGAGAGAGGAACAGAGACGGACCTTCTTTACATTTAAAGCTCAGTGTTTTTTAGAAAAACCCACATGTCCGTGGCCAATTCTTTTAATTAAAAATACAAAAATACAGTCACTTCAGATGAGAATACACCTTATAAAACCTTTCAGTGTGTTGTTGTTGCATCAAATGTGCTTAAATATGGACACAGACCAATAAATTCTGCCCGTTATACTACGTAGCTGGCAGAGGGGACCATGGCAGTCAGGATCTACATATCGTAGGAAAAATATTTTCTTTCTTGTAACTGGTACAGTCTAGCACATTCATCCCCTCGAATTTTCCATGAAAACTCCGTGACGCCCGCAGACCCAGATCCTCCTAGTGAGTTTCTATGTTTATCTTCACTGACAGCGTATCGATCTCCAGGAATGGTTTTGGAAAGATGAACCATTTTCCGTACAACTGTGTGGCATCTGTCCACAGTAGTAGCCCTACTGTTAAAGCAATACTTTTACTTGTCATTTCATTTTGATCATAAATTTAAAATAGAAATGTATGAAAACTGTTAGAGAGGAAAAATTGAAAATTTTAAAATTCACGTTGCTTTGAAAATAATATTTTGGTATATTCCTTTGACTAATAAATTGTTAAACTCCTCTAATATTGAGGAAACTTTTATTTTAAGGAATAAAGGCTATAAAATCATTAAAAGTGGGGTGAAATAATTGCTAAAAATGTACAGATAATAAATGACTCCTCCTATGGAATGGAACCATTGGAAAAATTCTATTTCATTATACGACATATGCAATGGTCATTTCTCAGGGTTTTCTTTGTATTAAAAATACACCAAGTCATTTAAGAAAGCACAAATAAGATCTTATGTCTCAGGAATTTGATTTAAAATGTATACAAATAGAGTGCTTAAATGTAATCTATTTTAGAAAACAAAGTGAAGAAACAAAGGTTGAACCCATGAAAATATCTGTTACCATATGAAACAATAAAAAGAAATTCCAATTTTTTAAAATAATCAATGGCTGGTTTTCTATTGTATAAAAACAACCAAGTTACAGGACATTTGTGTTCCCTCATTTTGAGACTCTGATTGCATGAGCTTGATGTATGTGGAAGTCTCTGACTATTTAATACAATTCTCCTATCATCTTGCATTCAGAATGTCCTCAGCTCTCTGCACACACAGAAATCACTGTCACTGATGATTAACTAAATCCCTTTGGTTTCCATTGTCTTACAGCTGACCACCTCTACAGTGTTTTGATGGACCTGACCTTTTTATAATAGAAAACAGATTTTTAAGTTTTTTCCTAATATCTTATTGAATTGAATATTTGCTTTAGTGAACTGATCCACTGGTTTAATCAAAAAGACAAAACCAAGTGTGAATGTAGACAAAGCCTGCTAAAGACAAAAACTGGAAGGGGCCAGGCCTCTGCTGTCTTCCTTTTTTTCCAAGAATGTCTTTTTTTTTTGTTTGTTTTGCAGCTTTTGGCCAGGGCTGGGTTTGAACCCACCACCTCTGATATATGGGGCCAGTGCCCTACTCCTTTGAGCCACAGGCACTGCCCCCAGGAATGTCTTAACCAGTAGGGTGTCAACCATTTTTCTTCCTCACCACACATTGGAAGAAGAGTTGTCTTGGGTCACTCAGTAAAGTAATTACACAACCATGAAAGCTGATGAGCCCCCTAACCCCCAAAAAGGCCTATGCATACTTTTCCTCATATCTGATGCCATAAGTAAGCAAAGCAGTCCTCACACAGCTCACGTGCAGCCACCAGCCGTGGGTTGTACAGCCCTGGAAGCACTCACTCCGCCATGCTTGGCCACCAGAATGTAATGTTGCCTGTGCCTGTAGATTGAGAAGCTCAATTTGTTGCTCTCTGGGTCAAAATGATTCACAAAACATATAGCTACTCTGGTGGATTTTAAACTTTTTTTTATGGTCCAGGGTGATGTTTCCAATATACCTGAACCTTTTATTATATATCTTGTGTTTTTTTTTTTTTTTTATTCTGGAGGGAAAAAATTCTTCAAATAATTTATTGAAATTCTGTAGGGAAAGTATAGTTAAATTTTTAAAAACCAAATAGTCTGTGGACGGATCTTCAGTATGTAGCTTTCATTACGGTGTACTTCCTGGAACTAAGTCTGCATTTGTGTTTCCAACAGGGGAGAGCAGCACAGTGTGGAATAGGGACTCTCTGGGAGCACACACAGTGTAAGCAGAACACTCTTCAAAGTCATCTGCATGGAATGCAGATAGTCAAGTG